GGAGGCCACGTCAGGCTCTCCCCTTGAAGCACAATTTCAGGAGGGCTGAGACAGGGCTCCCCACAAGAGCATCAGTGCCTACCCACACACCTGCATGCACTTACATGTAGATGAGCTCTGACTCATGACGCACCAGCATATGCTTCTCATGGATGAGTTTGAACCAGTCCACCAGCAGGCTGTCCTCAGGGCTGTCTGCCAAGCAAAGGGACAATTCGGAGCCATCCCCAGCCCTGCAGGATCCCATCACCCTGCAGCAGGATGGGCTCTGCCAAGCCAGGAGAGGGGCACTGGCCTAGAGCAAACCTGTCCTCAGCCTGTTCCTGAGCCCCAGAGAGACCTTATCTCTTCTCCCACCTGTTTCCACTCTAGGGACATCTCCATGCCCAGGGTACAGCTGTTATTGTTGTAGGAGCCCAGCGCAACCCCTTGTGCTCTTCCAACCCCAGGATCAGCAGGGAGGAAGTCACCGCTGCTATCTCCTGGGCTGGACAAAGGGCAGCACTACGGTCAGTCCTGCCCCTCACCCACACACAGCCCACTCCACATACCATTCTCAGCACTGCGAAGTTTTTCCTCCAAGGCCACCCCACGATGCTCCAGCTGGTCCAGCTGGTGCTCGATAGCATCCATCTCTCCATAGATGTCTTCCTCAGGGATGTACTGATCTGTCTGCACCTGCCAAACCACAAGGCAGAGACTTCCATTACCATCAACCTCCAGTTTCCAGGTGCCCTACGGCTGGTCAACGCTAACGGGGGCTGGGGGACAACAGACCACTCTGCCTAAGTGTAGATCCAAAATCCACACCCCACTCTGGAGCAAAGGCAGACCATGGTGCTGCTATCAACAGCATCTAGCCTGGACACCATCCTCCCCGACCAGAGCCACCCGCTGCAATCCCTACCCACACATGCATCAGCAGGATGCGTGCATACAGCTATGGTCCTGGGGGACAGTACAGGGCTGGCTCTTCACCCCCTGCTCCCCAGAGCCCTTTTACCTTGCGTTTGATCAGTGGGAAGCCGTGACCCGGTGCAGGAGGACGCACTGGCTTGGAGCCCTTGGAAGGTTTCTTTGCAGAGGGGGAGGCGGCAGGCGATGGCTTCCGGTTGAAGGGGTTCTCTTTGCAGGAAGACTGGAGAGGGAGGACAAAAGGAAATACATGAGGGTCCAGGAAAGGGAAGGGACTGAGCAGACAGGGCAGCCCTACGGTTTGTCCTGCCCCATACCCTCCTAGAGGAGGAACAAAGGACTGATCTCCACCAGCAGCCTAGCCATGGGGCAAAAACCGACTGTGCTCCTCTTTGGCATCAGTTCCCCAGCTTCTCTCTAACAAGCACGCTGCATTATTTTCCTTCACAATTCCCTGCCTATTTGCTCTGAGCACATGACATCCTGCCTCTTCTCTAGCAGGTGAGGCAGGCAGAGTACATGCCTGAGGCTTGCATTTTCTGGGGGTGACACACCAGATCTAAGGGGCAAGCCTGGTCTCACAATCCCCGCTGTGACTGAGTGATGGAGAGGGAAGAAAAATCCCCTGATCTGGATGGGAGGAAGGTAACCGTCTCACCTTTAGCTGTGGCTTGGGCGAGGAGGGCATCTTAGGGCTCCCAGCACCCCCATCTGAAGCCAAGAGGATGGGTGTAGGGCTAGCCCCAGCAGGAGGCTTGGGGGGCAGCCGGCTGGGGCTGGTCTTTAAGCTGCCGGTGGAGACGCTCCTGCTGGTGTGCGGGGTGCTGGGCTGTGCCTCCCCGCTGAAGCTGGCCAGCTCGCTGGAGGAGGAGAAGGAGGAGTTGGTAGAGAGGCTGGCTGGGGCAGCAGGGCTTTCACTGGAGGAGATGCTGGCCAGTGGCGTGTCGGTGCTAGAGGTCTTGGTGGCCGTCGGCGTGTGGACAGTGGGCTCGGAGGAGCTTTTGGGCACTGAGGCCTCATCGGTGTCACCCAGCACCTTGGATGAACTCTCAGAGTTGATGCTCTCGAGGCTGAGGGCTGGAGATGGGGTGGAGGATGATGGCTCAGAGTGCGACAGCCTGGAGATGGGGTGGTGGGCTGCAAAGCAAAGGGAGAGCTCAGGGAGGAACCAGGGGGCAGTCAGGAGAGAAAAGGAGAGTGGTACATACTGGAAGCAGGGGCAAGGGCAAAGGGAACCAGTGTTTGTCTGTCTGTCTTCAGAGAAGACAGAAGGAACCGTCCAGCACAAAGGTCTTGCCTGCAAGTGCTGTGCTCCAGTGGGTAGAGAGGACATGGCTAGCACAAGTCCCAGCACAACCATCACTGCATAAAGGCCTGGCTGCCAGGGTGATGCAGAGGCACCTGGGAAGGGGGAGCCTCCAAGGGGCTGCACAGGGGTTGCAGAGGAGGGATAAGGGAGTGGGGGGAAGCTCACCTAGCGGGGAAGCACTGGGGGCTCGCGGAGCTGGCCGCTTCTTTGCCTTTGGGCTGCTGGTGGGAGTGATGCCGTACCAGGGGTGGAGAGGTTTTGCAGCAGTCTCGCTCTGCTCCTGCTCAGGTGTGCTCTTTTGGGCAGCAGTGCTCTCCTCTTCTTCCTCATCCTCCTCCTCAAAGGGGTTGTATGGTTTGGGCTCTGTGGCATCAGACCCGCTCTCCTCACTTCTGGCTTTCCCCACCTCCTCCCCATTCTCCTCTGAAGTCCTACTCGGAGTCTCATGGCTGCTGCCTGGGGGAGGAGGGGGAGCTGGCTTCTTCTTGGGCTCTGCTTGCACTAAGGCCATCCATGGTGGGTCCTTGGCTCTCGCAGCAGCTCCAGCACTGGAAGAAGGAGAGCTCAGGGTAGCAGAGAGCAGAGACAATCTGGGACGGTGAGGCACAGTAGGGGGACCTAGCCCTCAGGGGAAAGGATGGATGGAGCAGGATGTCTCCCATGCAGAAGCAGCTTTCTCATCCCAGGGTGGCCCTAGTCTTCCCCAGACACAGTCTTGTTCTCTTTGGGTAAACCTACAGGCCTGAGGGGAGTACAACCCACCTGACTTGCACGCTGGGCCCAGTGTTTTGATTTCTGAGTATTACAGCCTCCATATGCTAAGCAGGGGTAAAGGCTGAGCTTTACGGGCACAGCTGTTCTCCCCTCCCTGACACTGTCCCTACACCCAGCTCTGCTCCCTAGGCTGTGGATGGAGGGGGAGTCGTGATCAGATACCTGCCCTCTGTGGTCATGCTCGCTTCCTACACTTCACAGGGCTGTTTGTCACCTCAGCATCCCAGGGACGGACTCCTCTTTGCTAACTCCTGAGGCTAGAAGTGTCACAGCTCCTCCAGGGGCACAGCCCGTGGCAAGCCCGCTGCATGGCTCCGTGAATCATGGCTCATCAAGAAAGCAGCCGTCATTTGCCATGCTCACCTGCTCCTTGGCCATTGCGAATTTGGAGTGCTTGTGCAACCTCTGTCCCAAGAGCGGGCCAGAATGAACCAGTGGGCTCCTGGGTGCGAGCCCATGAGGTGTAGAGGTTGCAGCCATGCACTCACAATGTCCCTGCACTGGACCTTTCCCGGGACAAACCCTCCACAAGGCAGACAAAGTGTCGTCTCCTCAGCACCCACAAGCAGGGTCTTTTCAGAAGGCACCTGGCAGTCTGCATATGCCACAGAAACACCTTTTTGAAGCCCCTAAACTCTCTACAAAGCCTAAGAGACAAAGACCCTGGGAGGTACGGACAAACACTCTCAGCCTGACGGTACTAGGCTGGCACCCGTTAGGTAAAGGAAGGGAAGGGACCTGATCATAGCCTGCATCCTCAAGAGCAGGGGCTGATGGGGGTGGGAGAGGAGACTACAGCTGAGCCGTTCTCACAGCCCCACTTCGCTATGGGGTTTGCAGGTGATCTGTGAACAGAAGGACGTACCGATCAGAGGAGCAGGGTCTCCCTCGGGGTTTTGGGACAGGGGGGCTGGGTTCAGGCACCCTACCTAGAAAGACACAGGGTCAGACTGTCACAACACCAAAAGGACATGAAGAAAGAGGTTAAATCAACACGAGGCACCTTACACATCTCCCCATGGGAGGCTGGCTATTCCCACTCTCTGAAGACCTCATGGCGCTTCTCCCACAGCCAGTCAACCCCAAACATCCCCTTTGCCTTTTTCTCCCCACCCCACCCTGGGAGCTGCACCTGGAAGACTGACACGTCCCTCTGTCCCAACACCTGCAAACTAGCACTGCCACCTTCCCTCCACACTGGCAGCACCCCCCCGGAGAGCTCTGGAGAAATAAAAAGGAGCAGGCAGGCGTGAAGCCTAGTGCTGCTCTCCCTGCTGTGGGAACGGCTGGCAATCGAAGGCTTGGTGTCTGAGCCTGAGGAGGCAGAAGGGCATCAGGCTGCAGAGAAGGAACAAAGCTCATCCAACCTGCAGCCGAGCACCTCGGCCGCTGGGGAGGCGGAGGGTAACCCCTGCCACCACTGTACTCTCTTACCGTTCACCATGCCAGGCCCACACTCGCTGCCCTCGCCCTGGAGAGTGGACCTGGGACGGGGGACGGGGTGAGATGTTGGAGGCGAGAGGGCTGACGCATCGGTGGCCCTCCTTGGGGCAGGGGTGGGCCGCATGTCCTTGAGCCGTCCGTCCAATGAGCTGGCTTTCTCCTGGGTGAGCACTGTGGGCTTGCTGGGAAGGGGAGGTCTGGGGGGAGTTTGGGAGACGGGTGCGCCACTGCCTGTGTGAGCAGGGGGCATCGCTGTCTCTGCTTTGTTGGGCGTGCTGTCCTTCTCCACTGGGCCAGCTACTCCCTCTGCAGGCATCTGGGTCTCTGCCATGCTCTCCAGGGAGTCGCCGTCGTCCTTCCCCACCTCTGCTCCTGTGGGGAGGGTATCCTCACCCACGCTGCCAGCCCCAGTTTCAGTTCTTAGCTCTGGTGACTGTCGGGCTGGGCTGGGCCTCCTCTCCGCCTTCCCGCTCATGGCCAGTTTACCACGATGCTGCGTGCAGACAAAAGTCCCTGCCTCTGTCCCAGGCTTGTATGACCCTGGGAGCAGTGTGCTGGAGCACTCCTTACACCTGCCAACCAGAAGAGAGAGACCCATGAGATGGGGACACCATCCTGCCCTTCAGGGAAGGCAACGCACCTGGGAGATCCTTGCAAGGCCATGGAGTTAGTTCTCACCCCTGCTACTAAATCCTAGCACAGTCTTGGAGAAATCATTCGGGAAAGGAGAGGAAAAGAGAAACGTCACCATTACACTGTATGAACCCATGGGTAGTTCACAACTCAAATACTGTCTGCATTTGGGTTCCTCCTCCAACTTGGAAAGGATTTAATAGATGTGGAAGCATAACAGTTGGTATTGGAATACGGCATGGTTTCCAGACCTGGAAAAGTAGAAACCCACAGTTTTCCTGGAAAAGATGCAGCTGGTGGAGGGACAGGAGAAGGAGCTACAAGATCACAGGTGGCCCTGGGAGGGGGAGAGGGATCAAGCATTCACAGACATGAAACAGGGAGCATCAACTGGATTTAGGAAGCATTGGTTCAGAACTGGCACGGGGAGGCTACAGGCTGCCTAGCAGGGACCAAGGGTCCAGGTGGGCTAAAGAACCGTCACACACAACCCCCCACCCCCCCAAACTCTGAGTATTAAATAAAATTATGCCACTTCCAACTCAGGAAATCTCTACGCTGGAGGCTTGAAGAGTAGTCAGGAGAAGCAGCATACAAGCCTAGCCTGGTCTCGCGCTCACCCTCACTGGTGCTGACCGTGGCCCCCAACAGGGTCATGGCTTTTGGCTGGAAGGACGAGGGAACAATGCAGTAGGGCCATACTTACACTCTGCCTTGCCTGTGGAAGCTGATAGCTTCCCTGTCCTTCACTGTCTGCCACATCTCCTTGGATCATCCACTATTTCCCCACTGAGCCTTTGAATCCTCCCTAACGAAGCCCTCCAGGCGCAAGCGTAATGCACAGTACTGGCAACCAAGTCAGCCCTTTTCCACCTGGGAAGGGAGGTGGATAGCATACATGAAAGAGAGTCAAAGGCGAGGGGCTGATCCAGCACTCCTATGAAAATCAAGCTTGTTCCTTCTTGTCTGAATACCTGGCACTTGCAGCAGCTGGCTGCCCTACACTGCAAGCAGATAATTTTGGTGAGGAATTCTGCTCTGAGTGTCCAGTTGACAGGGATTTCCTTTGAAATTTAGAGCAGCAGTGTGAGGACACAGGGGCTCTAGAGAGAATAGGTATGATGAAATGAAGCGGTGGCAAGTTCGGACAAGGGGAGAAAGAGGTTTGCTTTGGTTTTATCTCTGTCAACCCACACAAAACACCGCCACAGGACATTCCCAACCAAACAGCACCCATGAATCAGCAGGGGGAGGAAAAAAAAAAAAAAAAAAAGACAAAAGCATAAGGAGGCAAAACACTCGGGATAACACTGCTCAGTCTGAAGAGCCACGAGCTGTGCCAAGGCAGACACAGCACCTCTCCTATGCCTGGTCCATAAGCAATGCTGCACCTGCACCCCAAAGCTCCTGCTTTTGCCCCAGCTGCAGATGGGAAGCTTGATGGGCCCCAGCTCAGCTCTCCTCCTGCGATGCTGTTTCTATGACACATCCCCATCTGGCTTTGGCAGGAACTGTTTATACAGGTGAACAAGGCCTCCCATATCTTCCCATAGGCTCAATATTTCTGTCCTCAGATGCCAGCTGCCCACTTGCCAGCTCTTGTCCTGCAGCCCACAGGAGAGATCTCATCCCTTTATCATCAGAGCAGGGAAAGCAAAGTGAAATGACTTCACAGCTGCTGCAGGTAAGAACCTGCACCCAGGGAGTAACCACAGAGCTGCTGACATCTCATCCCTTGTTCCACAGTTTGGTAACTGTCTGCAGCTCTCCACGTGCTCTCCTAAGAGCTCAGCACCACCCCAGGCAGCGTGGGAGCCTGTATATCCAGTTGAGGACGTGAAGTGTAGGTGGAATGAGGTCTGTAGGATGATGTCCTTCCTGGCTTAGACCTCACTGGAAGGGGCAGGGGGGGCGGCTCTGGGCAGGCAGGTGGTAAAGAGGCAGAGCATCCTGGTTTACGGAGGTGGGAGAAGCACAAGGGGCTAGGGTCCCAAGTCAGTGAAGTGGGAAAGTGCAAGAGAGCAGGGGAGGCAGGGAGCACAGGGCTGGACACAAGGGGCTAGTCGGACCTCTGGGATAGGGGGCTGGCAGGCAAACAAACCCTTTTCAGTATCATTTTGGACACTGTTGTTGATGCTCCATGTTGCCTAAGGACACAGACACACAAAGATGGGGTGCAGCTGGCCACCGACCTCCAGTTTGCCGAGGAGAGCAGCTGCCCCACCAGGCCTGGCCATGACATACCTAAAGCACTGGCGGTGGTAGAGCTTGCCCTCAGCCAGGTAGCGCTGGACCAGATGGACGTGCTGCTGGCAGGCTGCGCAGGTACTGCTGAGCGTGGTGCGCTGGGACTGCTCCGACAGGTCTGAGGGGGCATCGTCCTGAGACATGATGCATGGGGAGCTCAGGATGGGGGCCATGAGCTGCTGCCCAGGCCACGGCTCCTCCAGAGCAACTGCTCCCTGTGCAAAACCCATCGCTGAGTGCTTGCAGCACAGCTCAGGGGCTGACAACGCACAGAACAGCTGCCCCTGAGTCCAGGCACAGGCAGGCTGCCTCTTCCCACATTAGAAGGGGACACTTCAAAAGGTGCCTTGCCCCTATCTAGGGCTGAGGGGCTGTAGAAGGGACTAATCTAAACCCCCGTCAGCAGGGACCTGCAAGAGGAACCCAACCCCCTCTCTTTGGAAAATAAGCCATCTCAGATATCTGCTAAAACCTGAACTAAAGGGCCAAGAAAGAAAAAGGCATCTTTTCTGCTCTTCTAATCACAC